ATAAAAATACTACATGTTTTTGCAAGAAATGATTTTTAATTGACTTCATTTTCTTGACTATGAGGAAAAATCATCTGGACTTGAAATGCATAAATTTTGGACTAGATGTTTAAAATTTTCAATAGCCTTATGTTGTTAAAAATAAGCTCCTAGAGCTCTCGTTGAAAGGCTTAGTGATTTTCTCAAGATTGATGGTTTTTTACTAAATTGATATATATGTGTTTTCAAAACCATTCATGATAATATGTTGATTGATCATATATACTGTCATTGGATCAACATTTATGATTTGTGCAAAGAAGCTTACCTCTAGCATGCAAAAAAAATTGAAATTAGCATGATGAGTAAACATGATTTCTTCTAGAGTTTAAACTCCTCAATTGTCATGAATTTAAATTTTATATATCTATTTGACTCTTTAGTCTTAGGAATATGTCATTCAAATGATACTATTTTCTAGCCTAGATGACTAATGTGATATCACAAGTGATATACTATTTTGATATATTCATTTTTAGCACTTTAAAACTTCATGTGATGTTTTTACATCACTTCTTAAAGAATGCATCTAGAAGAGATAGTTAGCTCATCCACATGAAAATTCATGGAGCCAATCTCTCACCATATCTCTTAAAGAAGTTATTTTGGTATCAAGACCTCATTTTTGATGATTTTAGCCATACTTGCTCCTATGTGTTATAATTACATCTCTTTATTGGCTTATATACTTTTGGGAAACCCATGATCTTCAAATAATACATCTTATCATTTCCATTAATGAATTAAGGGTCTTTAAGTACGACTTGTTTCATGATATATCTTAAGCATACCTTACCTATCATTGCTTCATTGTTCCATTAGTTCCATAATCATTGAATAATATATGATGCAAATGGAAGCATATTGATAGCGGGAGATTATTAGTAATCTCTTGTGAAGGAATATTGCATGATTTGCTTAGCTTAATTGACTTATCTTGTATATTGTCAAAACATGCCTTAAAATGACTTTTTAGTCATTATATTCCATTCATATGACCTTTCATAACTTTGAAAATTTTTCCCTCTTTATTGAATGCATCAAATGGGAAAAATATATATTAGGATTGACGCACACTTAACTTCTTAGCTTTGCCTCTACAAAGGTTTTTGCCTTTTGGCTTACACTAATCCTTGCTTCATTTTTACAAACTATTATGTATACTTTTGTATACTTTTGCTTAATTGAGTATATATTCCATCTTGGGTTTATTCTTTATGTATACTTTTGTATATGCCATGAACCTAAAGATTTTTGCCTTTTGGCTTACACTAATCCTTGCTTCATTTTTACGAACTATTGTGTATACTTTTGTATACTTTTGCTTAATTGACTATATATTCCATCTTGGGTTTATTCTTTATGTATACTTTTGTATATGGCATGAACCTTAATGATGTATTGAACTCATGCTTTCATTGCTTCACTATACTAAATGCTAAATGCTTAATGAAGTTGTTTAGACCTTCCACCTTTTTGAGATGCCAATGGGGGAGAGATATGTGATGTGTTAAATGATCTTAAATGCATGTTTATGTCTAAAATGATTTATGATATATCAAGTTTGCAATTTTATAACATTATGCTCATTGAATGCACTTTGATAGGGGGAGCATTTTTTAAATGCCACTCCACTTGCTTATGAACACATCAATGTTTTGTCATCATCAAAAAGGGGGAGATTGTTGACCTTAAGGATTTCATCCAATGACAATCTAATTGTTTTGATGATAACAAACCATTAATGGTGTTTAAGGACTAATGTTCACATTGAGTGTTATAGATGACTTATATTCAAAGAAGAACCTCAATGAAGATCATAAAGACCATTCCAAGTATTCCATTATTCAAGATCACATCAAGGAAAGAAATGGATACATAGAAGAGTTGAAGTTGCAAAGAAAGATAGCTTGGACTATAATGAGCAAGAAAGCAACTCAAAGAAAGGAAGACAGCAAGACTACCTCAAAGCCTAAAGATCATGGACAAAGCTTGAAGAAAAGGGTAAACAGGATGGTGAGTGTTTAGGATTCAATGTCAAAGTATTTATGAATCCATTTGAAACTCATCTTTATAGGACCATGCATATTATATCATCATTTATATGCTCCTATATCCATTAGCAATAGACTATGCACTTCATTCATACACAATTGCACATGAAGTCATTGCTAAAGAGTGAGTTAGTCTAAGCTTCCATAAGTTTTGAAAGAACTCATCATTTGTGCTAAAAATGCTAAGACCATGCACATCAATCATATAATTCGTATTGGTCAACAATTGAGGCATGAGAAGCCTTCATTACCATGAGTTGGTAACGGACATTAGGACCCCAGAATGCGCGTCATGAAAAATTGTGTTTTTGGCTAAGTGTGAAAAATGGATTTTTGAAATATTGATTATTTCAAAATAATTTTTTCCAGTAATAACTCTTTATACTTCAACTAGCCTAAACTGATTTTATCAGAATTTTTGACCAAGTCTACATTGGTCTACATAAGGATTCATTTTTATCAAAATTGTCAGAAATCCAAATTTGTACTAAAACTGAATTTCTATTTTTTGATTTAGTTGGATTTCAATTTTCTAGAATTTTTTATTGAATCCAAATGGGGGGTACTTCCTTATTTACATTGTAAACTTAAAGTAAATGGACATTTACTTAAATGTTTTCAATGGAAATAAGCTGTGTGCAGATGTCCTGTACTGAGAGTCCTAAGCATAACCTGTACTGAAAGTCCTAAGCATAAACCTGTCATCTGTCAAAACTGTCAATGCACCAGAAAACGTCAACTGGTTTAATGCATACGTCGACCGGTTCATGAAGCATACATCGACCGGTATCTATGCAGTACTGAAATTTCAGAAACATAACATACGTCTACCAGTTTGTAGTATACGTCGACCGGTTTATAGTATATGTCGACCGGTTTGTGCCATACGTCGACCGGTTTATGCCATACGTCGACCGGTTTTTGTCGAATCTGTAGATTTCAAACTGCAACGGCTCTATTTTCCTCGACCTTTGTGCATTCAACTCCTAACAGCTATATTGAGGTTGCAAACTCTATAAATAGAGTGGGGAATGTCTTAATAATCAAGAGACATCATTTGAAAGCCTTCACAATGAATTAAAGAGAGCTTTTGTTATCAAATCTTCTCTTCACCTCTCTCATTCACTCATATACAAATCTTGAGAGATTTACTCTATTCACCCCCCCTCTAGAGTCAATTCTTGGGAAACAGAAATTTCAATGGCTTCGCCATCACAAGCTTTTCCTTTGGCAAAGTCTAATTTTTTATCTTCCTCATCATCCTTTTCAGAAGATGACCTTATTGCTGCGTTGATTCAACAGGATTGATAAGCGCCGAATATTGCATATTGAAGCGCCCTTAGCTGCATTAGTTAAATCCATCTTTTGATTATTCTTTGTAAATTATCTTTATTTGCACGCCTTTATTTATTTTCAGGTTCATTGGCCAAAAAGGAGTAAAAATGGTGTTTTATCAAATCTTTGAATAGCAATGTGCTCAAGGCTAAGTTCTGGCAGCAGCAGAATCTGACTTTGCTAGCCATTTTTGACCGATCAAACTCGAGAACTGGTCTTCCATTTAAACATCACATATTTAGAGCTTCGATTTAACTTTCAAAATCTTCAAACGGTTTGTCATTTGGAAATCGGAGCAAAAAGTTATGGCTGTTCTACCAAAGTTGTGCACAATAGGTTAAGAGCAAGGAGCTCACTGGACTAACTTCAAGCACTCGAAGTCCTTAGTTCGAGCGCTCAAACTCCGGGCAGCTTCCTATCCGAGAACCATCACTTCAGCCCACTTGCACCTTGTTTCTCTCATCTCTGATTTCCATCTTTATGGGTTAGTTGGAGATGTCTTTTGGTGGTTTTCTATGCCTTGTTTGGTGGAAGGAGATGTCTTTACAAAAAGGGGGAACCACACAAACAATATCATATCTGATCTTTGTAAGATTTATGGAGAGAGAAAGAGGAGAAAAAGAAAGAATTCTGGAAGCAAAAGGAAGGGAGCTCGAAAATGGAGGTTCCAACCAAGCTTCTTCCTTCTTCTAAGGCTCCCATGGGTAACTAAACCTCCTTCTAGGGAGGTGATGAAGTCCTTCTCTTGTAAGCATGTCTTAGTATAGTTATATTTTGGGGATTACAATGTATATTTTTATGGTCTTTTCATAACCAAGAGCACTTCATGTCTTGTAATGAATGTTGATATATGTATGGATGATTTCTCTAAGTTGATTATCTAATTGTAGATGATATCTTATATTAATCATATTGCTTAAGTTTTCATGGTGACAATGGAAGAAAGGTTATGAAATGGTTTAATGGCATGTTGTTAAGGACTTTGATAGATCATTGCTTAGGTGAAACCTTTGATGATTTATGCTTATTTCTTGCCTTCATGTGCTTCATCATTTTATCTAGGGCTTGATAGTTTTTCATTCAAGTAAATGTGGTTAAGCTACACCTTAGCTAGGTAGTCTAAACATGTTAACCTTTGATGGATTATGCTTGCTTCTGATTTAATGAATTTCTTGAGGATAACATAGCAACCAAGTGTGCTATGTATCATGACTATATATATATATTGTTTTCCCCCAATTTAGCTCTTATCTAGCATGTGTATAGGGATGGAGGCAGATTCACTTCCCTGGTCCTCTTTACTCGTATTTCATCTCCTTTAAATTCTTGCAAACTTTTAATTTATGAACCTTAATTTCATAGCTTAAGTGACAACCAACAAATCTTCTATGAACACCCCTATCATTCTAAAAAGACTCTAGACATTTAGGTTACCATAGATTAGCGCAGTCCCAGTGGTTCGACTTACCCGACCAATAGCCCTATTTTACAATGATTCGTGCTATTGCGAAGGTTGATTTATAATTGTAATCGACTCAACCGATCAAGGATCGAGACGAATTTTATGAGATTATGAATTCAATGAGGCCAGAGATAGTTGAGCAAGTATTTCAAGTCTGTAATAAGAAGCGGTACATTCATCGTGATCAAGAGGGAAGCCACTATCAGCTAATGAAAGACTACTTCAATGAGAATTGCATATATCCACCAGAGTACTTTCACAGGCGATTCAGGATGCAACGGGAACTTTTTCTTCGTATCCTTAATGATGTCAAAGCTTATGATAACTACTTTGTCCAAAAAAAAAAGGGTGTGACTGGTCGTCTAGGGTTATCTTCTATACAGAAGATGATAACTGCTGTTCGTATACTCGTATATGGTTGTGCAGTCGATCACCATGATGAGTATATTAAAATCGGTGAGAGCACTGCCATTAAATACTTGAAGGCATTTTATAATACTATTGTTGCTGTGTTTGTAGAGGAGTATATACGCTCACCCAACAAAGGTGACATAGCATGGCTACTTGAAGAAGAGAAGCAGTGAGGATTTCCAGGTATGCTTGGTTCTATCGACTGTATGCACTGGGAGTGGAAGAATTGCCTAATGGAGTGGCACGGTACACATAGGGGAAGCTCTGGCAAGAATACTGTAATAACCCGGTCATTTTCCTTCTTTTTCTTTTTTGGTTATTTCTTTTTTCGTCTTTTTCCCAATTTTGTCTTTTTCCTGTTTATCGTTTTCTCTGCATAACCTCACTATTTGTGCTCGGATTTGACTCCGGCTTTGCATGCATCCATAATATTTGATTTCTAAGGTAACTGTATTTTTACTTTTGTAAAAAAGCATACTAGTTGCTTACATTTTGGTAAAGGACATGGATGCATCCTTTTTTTTGTAAATATTCTAATCTTTTGGGGTTTTGCGTAATTATGAAAAGTAATTATTTTTCGTCTTAAGGACCATTTTGTAATTTAATTTGGAAGATATTTAAAAATTGACCTTTTTGCAATTTTTGGAAAGTATGACAAGTGTCACACTCCCATGGCGCCACTTGTTGGCATTAGGATGGAGTGACTTGGAAGCCTTATCTCTTGACATTTGGAGGGTGGAGATTCATCCACTTGTTGGCCTAAGATAGATGCACTTGTTGGCTTGGATGGTTGACAAGTGTAGGCTTAGGATTAAGCCTAGGAAGGAGCCATAGATTGGTGACAAATGTAGGCACCAAATTGAGTATTGTGTTGTGTGTGTGTGAAAGGTAGTGTAAGAATACCTAATGAGTGGAGGAATACTAGATCATCCACCTACCACTTTTCTTTTTCTCATCTTCGTTCCCTTTGCTTTCAATCCGAACCTAGCCTCCACTGAAGGAAAAGGTTGGCATAAAGCTTATTCCATCATTTTGGCTTCCTTCCACTCACCTTATACCTTAAACCTTGGGAAGTAAAAGTTTTCTCTCACTCCCTTCTATAAAACCCTAGTTTTGTTTTCCATTTTAAGCTTAGTTACTTTTGATTATAGAGATTCAATTCTCTATTGAGGTAGGGGTGGTAGTATGTTTATGCTTTGAGTGTTTTATAATCCTTTAGGGTTTAATATATATTGTGTACATGCTTTAATATGGTAGTCTTGCATATTATAGAAAATTCTCACCTTTGACTTAGGATTTATTGATTTAAGCATATATGATATGTATTTATATTGTGTAGAATTATTGATGTCATATAAAATTCTTATTGACTTGAATTGCTATATTTATTGTGATGATAATTTTATATTCTTGTGGATTACTAAATGTTGAGGTTTAATATATAAAACTTATTTTTTAGGCATGATTTAAATTTATAAGTTGGTGGTGTTGTATTGTATGTTATACTATGAGGAGGACTTGTCATTTGGTATGCTATTTTAGACTTGAAATCCTAAGACATGGTTTGTGTGGTTTCAAAATACTTGTGCATGGAAGGTGGTTTATATGCCTTAATTATAGTGTATGAGTTTTGAACTTGATTATGATTTTAGATTCTCTTGGGACATTGTTACAAGTAACATGGCTAGAGTTTGGCTCTAGTATGGGAGGTATGAGTTTTCCCCATTTATAGTGCACACTAGGGTGGTCTTCCCAACGGGTTAATGCCTGGAATAACCGTTTAGATCTTGGTTTATTCCGAGATGTGATGTCCAAGTCTTCCACTAATTGATTTCGCATTTAAATTCTAAGTTGATAACCAAATGTTTCATTATAACTTGTAATTCCTATTATTGGTGAATTGATGTTATTAAGTACATTGATATTGATATGTGTTGTTAAAGAATCATTTAAGTTAGCTTAAGATGATCCCTTAGAATACCTTGATCTTGCAATGATATTGAAACTTTAAGGTATATGCATATGCTTCTTCCTATGAGTAACTTGATTACTCACCCTTGTTGTTTGGGTTATTTTACAGGTAAGGAGACTATGCTCTTCGGATGCTCATCATCCTTAGAGGCTTATAAGCAATTTGGAATATTTTTGTATTTTGACATGCAAATGTTTAGCAAGCTTACTTTTGATGTTATATTTTTGCATACCATGGATGTATGGTATTTTAGAAGCTAAGATGGCTTCCTTATATGTAATGTGTATCTAAGTACACTTTTTGATGCATATTTTGTATGTATAACATGAAGCCAAGAGCCATTGGTTTTAAAAGTTCACAAGTATATTTTTAATCTTGTTTTGGATCATTGGGAATACATGTATAGCCTCAAGGTTGCCTTAAATTTGCTAACTATTTTGTTATTTGGCTATTTTCTCGTTTCTATTTTGTCATTCGGCAAATTGTTACCTTCAGTTCTGTCGTTCGGCAGTTAGAACGTCAAAATGCTTGACGTCAGAACACTTGACCATATAGGCCAGAACGCTTGAACCTTTTGGCTAAACACTTGAACCTTTTGTCGAAACGTCTGAATTGACCATGTAGGTCAGAACGTCTGAACGCTTGAACCTTTTGGCTGAACGCTGGAACCTTTTATCAGAACGTTTGACTATGTAGGTCATAACGTCTGAACACTTGAACCTTTTAGCTGAATGTTGGAACCTTTTGTCAGAATGCTTGACCATGTAGGTCAGAACGTCTGAACGCTTAAACCTTTTGGCTGAACGCTGGATGCTTTTGTCAGAACGCTTGACCATGTAGGTCAGAACATCTGAACACTTGAACCTTTTGGTTGAACGTTGGAAGCTTTTGTTAGAACGCTTGACCATGTAGGTTAGAATGTCTGAACGCTTGAACCTTTTGTGTAATGACCCGATCATTTTCCTCCCTTTCCTTTTTCGGTAATTTTCTTTTTTCGTCTTTTTCTATTTTGTCTTTTTCCCGTTTATCTTTTTTCCTTGCATAACTTCACTTTTTGTGCTCGAATTTGATTCCAGTTTTGCATGCATCTATGATATTTGATTTTCATGAAATTTGTATTTTTACTTTTGTAAAAAATACATTCTAGTTGCTTACTTTTTCGTGAATGGCATGGATGCATACTTTATTGTAATTATTCCTGATTTTTGTGGATACATACTTTATTGTAATTATTCTTAATTTTTGGGGTTTTAGTGTAATTATATAAAATAATTATTTTTCGTCTTAGGGACCTTTTTGCAATTTAATTTGGAAGATATTTTGAAAAATGACTTTTTTGCAATTTTTGGAAAATGTGACAAGTGTCACATTCTCATGGTGCCATTTATTGGAAATGGGGTGGAGTGACTTGGATGCATAATCTCTTGACATTTGGAGGACAGAGACTCACCCACTTGTTGGCCTAGGATTGGTGCACTTGTTGGCTTTGATGGTTGACAAGTGTAGGCTTAGGATTAAGCCTAGGAAGGAGCCTTGGATTTGTGACAAGTGTAAGCTCACCATTTGGTCTTGCATTGTGTGTGTGAGAGAGGTAGTGTAAGAACACATAGTGAGTAGAGGATTTCTAGATTTTCCACTCACCATTTTACACTTTATCTTTTTCATTTCATTTGTTCTTCTTAACCCTAAACCTAGCCACTATTAAAAAAAAGCTTAGTTAATAGCTTTCTTCTTCATTTTGGCCTCCTTCCACTCACTTAGACCATAAACCTTGGGAGACAAAAGTTTCCTCTTGCTCTCCTCTTCAAAACCCTATAATTGTCTTCCATTTTTAAGCTTGGTTTCTTAGATTATAGAGATTCAATTCTCTATTGAGGTAGGGGTGGTAATATGTTTATATTCTACGTGTTTTATAATCCTTTGGGGTTTAATATATATTGTGTACATGCTTTTAGAATTGTAGTATTGCATACTATAGGAAATCCTTTTGGTTGATTTAGGGTTTATTGATTTTAGCATGTATATTGTGTATGTATCTTGAGTAGGATTATTAATGTTGTATAGAACTCTTATTGATTTGAATTACTATACTATTGTAATGATAATTCTACATTCTAGTTGACTACTATTGGTAATTGTAATAATTTTAGAAGCTTAATACTATAATGTTGTAATCTAGTATATAAAGCTTATTGTTGAGGCATGATTTAAATTGATAAGTTGGTGGTATTGTAGTGCATATTATATCATGTTAAAGACTTGTCATTTATTATGTCATTCTAGACTTGGAACCCTATGATATGGTTTGTGTGGTTTCAAAATACTTGTGCATGGAAGGTGGTGTATGTATGCCTTAATATCTATGTATGAGTTTTGAACTTACTATATTTTGGATTCTCTTGAGACATTGTTACAAGTGATATGGCTAGAGTTTGGCTCTAGTGCGGGAGGTATGAGTTCTCTCTAATTGAGATAGTGCGCACTAGGGTGGTCTTCCCAACGAGTTAATGCCCAGAATAACCATTGAGGTCTCGACAGAATTTCGAGCTTAAATGTCCAAGTTTTTCACTTTTTGATTTCGCATTCAATTCCAAGTTGACAATCAATGTTTAAATTGTAACTTGTAATTTTTGTTTCATGCGATTTGAAGTTGTTAAATATATTTGCTTTGATATTGTGTTGCCAAGAAACATTTAAGTTAGCTTAAAATGATCCCTTACAACACCTTGAACATAAACGTTAAGTAGAATGCTCACTTGTATTCGTCTATATTGATCTTGCAATGATATTAAACTTTGGGGTATACGTATATGCTTTTTCCTACGAGTAACTTAATTACTCACCCTAATAGTTTAGGTTGTTTTACAGGTAAGAAACCATGTTCTTGGATGCTCATCATCCTTATAGGCTTGTAAGCAATTTGAAGCATTTTTGTATATTAACATGCAAATGTTTAGCATGCTTTACTTTTGATGTCATATTTTTGCATACCATGGGTGTATGGTATTTTGGAAGCTAATGAAACTTCCTTAATGTGTAAAGATACTTAAGTATTTACTTTTGACATTATAAGCATGTTTACTTTTGCACTTGTATTCACTTGGTATCAAACTTTTGCTTTAAAATGCATTTTAACCAATTTTAGAGATTTGGCATATGAAATTCTTGTAATGGACATGTATAAGGCCATAAGTTGTTGTA